CACAGACGTTATGTGGCTCCCCTCTGTCTTATCTGCAGATATTCTCATGGCAACTGCTCTGACGAGCTATTTTCACTGGTTCCCGACTGCATTAATTTAAGTGTGCTTCTAGATTGACATATGGGTTCCACCATTTTGCTGTTGAAATACCTCATGCAACCGCCACTTATTCTATGACAGTTTCTTTTCTTGCACTTTCCAAAAGTGGAACTTCCTTCCTCTTACTTGCTTCCTTGATAACTACAATCTTCAAAAATATAACGTCAATCGCTATTTTCTGTTGTCTTGAACCTCGTTCATCTTTTATCCTTTTTTCAATCTCCCTGAAACAGCTTTTTCTCTCACTTTCACTCTCTGTAACCCACTGCATACTAATGGCACTACTGCCTTACTTGGCGCAGGGGTGAATGATTAAAAAATAACAAAAAGAAGTACAGTTTGAAACAAGTTTCACCTAAATGGATCTTCAGCGTAAGCCAGCTTACCCTGAAGATCTATTTAAGCTGCTTTACATTTAGGTGAAAACATAGGTAGGTGGTTTCTGGCTCACTAGGATTTTTTTATGCTCTGCTCTATCTGTATTGAGCACTTTACGTTTTTTTTTGTTTTTTTTTATTTACTCGATTGTTTTTTTTTATGGACTAGAATTACGACACTGGAACATTTTTTTTTTTTTTTTTACCTACTCGGATGTTTTTAGTCTTTTCGTCGTGAAGGCGGGCGCGGTGTTGAATCCTGCCGGTGAGCACATGTTATTCATTAATAAGCGTTCTCCTATATCCTAGTGAGCCAGAAACTACCTACCTAGGTTTCACCTAAATGGATCTTCAGGGTAAGCAACATTACATTGTGCGATTTTTTTTCGGCCTACGCGTACATTTCTAGTCTTTTCTTTTTTTTCTCACACTTCTTGCTTGTGGATTTCTCTCCCGGTTCCATATTTTCCAGCCAAATTTGGTCTTCAAAATTTTAAACGCAATAAATCCTGATTACTCTTCTTGTGTTCTTTCTCGTTCATAATGTTTTCTGATTTCAAATTCGTTCACACCCAGTAAACCCTTGTGTCTTAGTGGCTTTACTACCTTGTTTGGGGTGAATTTCATTAAAAATAAATGAATAACTAAAATAAACCCATTAGTAATAATTTTGTAAAGAAATTTGGTATGTGTGCATATATGATTTGCGTACATTTAGTGATGACTAAGCCTAATACAAATTATCAGCTAGCAAAACATTAATAAATCTTATTGCATACAAATGTTTTGGTGTTGTTTTTTTTAAAGATTTTCATCAAAATATGTCGACAACAATAAAAATGTGGGTATAAATTTCGTTTATGTCTTGTGGCTTACGTCAAGCAAGATTGGCTACTCTTGCTGTGGCTTATACAAGTTTTTAGTTTGTTTTGTTTTTTTCCATAATTTTTTTTTTAATTTTTAGACTCATAAAATACGTCTGCCTATTTGTTCTGCATGTTTTTAATGATAACAAAGAGGCTTAATATCATTAGAAGTTCCCAAAAACTTATTTACGATAGCAGGCCGAGGTAAAAAGGAAAAAGAAAAGAAAATTAGAGAAAAGATTATTATCTTAAAT